ATCAATACTTCCTTCCAACAACATTGAAGGTATTAGAGAATTATTCAAGCTTAATGCCCTTTTATCTTTAATGGTTTGCATAGCTCACCTTTCAGTTCATCAATTTTTACCCGGAAGACAGTCTCTTTCTGCAACTTTTAATTTGCCATTTAAAAACTTAATTTAGTCAGGTCTATTGAGGTTTCATCTAGTTTCTGTCTAAATATGAGCAATTTATCCTATTCTATACTTTAGCCCTTTTTTTTTTATTGTTTTGAATTGCTTGAGATTGTTTTAGCCGTCTTTTTTTGTTTTTTGTTTATAGGTCAAAATTTTGTTGGTATATTGATATATTTTGTTTCGTATATATACCTTGGTTCCCATTAAGAGGCGATGGCAGCATACTGCAGCAGTGCCATCTTCGAACTTTAAGAGTAAGCTTGTGCTAATACAGGCTTAGATGAAGCACATTGACAAAAGCATTTATTGGTCAATGTAGGCAGCAAATTTTGCGTAGTCTGCCAATCAAATGGTTGTAGTAGATTATCTACCGGCATTATTTCTTTTGTAATGGTTTAGACTCCTTGTGGTTTTTACTGGAAAAGTTGTCATTGTGTTTCAGCTTTGCAAATTATCTTTGGTACCATATTCTGCAGGGCATATGACTGTGTACTTACAACCTGAATTTGATTTCAAGCAGATGTATCCAATAACCCAGACTTGCTGAAAAAGCTGGTTGCAGTGGTACAAGATGGTGAAGATTTTGACTGTCCAATTTGCATCTCTCCTCCTGCTGACATTGTAATTACATGTTGTGCTCACATCTTTTGCCGATCCTGCATCCTAAAAACCATACAGCGCACAAAACCCTGCTGCCCCCTTTGTCGCCATCCTTTATCACAATCTGACCTGTTCTCTTCACCCCCAGAATCATCTGACACTGACAATACTGATAACTCTTCTTCTAGAAATTCCACCTCTTCAAAAGTGTCCACTCTATTAAAGCTACTCCTTGCACTAAGGAACCAAAACCCTTCTATAAAGTCGGTTGTATTTTCACAATTCCGTAAAATGTTGATATTGCTTGAAGAGCCATTAAAAGCAGCTGGTTTCAAGTTCCTACGCCTAGATGGTTCAATGAATGCAAGAAGGAGAGCTGAAGTAATCGAAGAGTTTAGAGTTCCAGAAACAGGTGGACCAACTGTTTTGCTGGCGAGTCTTAAGGCTTCAGGTGCGGGTATCAACCTTGCAGCTGCTTCTCGAGTCTTCTTGTTGGAGCCATGGTGGAACCCAGCAGTTGAGGAACAGGCTATGGACAGGGTACACCGTATTGGTCAAAAGGAAGACGTGAAGATTGTGAGGCTGATTGCTCGAAACAGTATTGAAGAGAGGATACTAGAGTTGCAGGAAAGGAAGAAGAAACTGGCAAGGGAAGCTTTTAGAAGAAAGAGAAAGGACCAAAAGGAGGTCAGCGTAGATGATCTACGCATTCTCATGTCGCTGTAAGTCAGTCATGCCATTGTATGCATGTGATGCTTCATGTTACAGTTGCGATATCCATGGAACTTTCTTTCTCTTTTGGCTGTACATAACAGCACATCCAATATGTGGTATAGTGCATAGTATATCTGGTTAAGGTTTTCTGAGACTTGACAACAATTTCAACCAACTTGTGGTTGTAAAGAGAAGGGTTTATATCCACAATTTTTGTAACAGCTAAGATGGGGAATGGAACAAATATTTTGCAGGATTTATTGGGTTTTACAGGCAATTCTTAGAACTTATCAATCAGATGTTAGTGTGAGGAAATTGGGCGTTTTGAGGTCTCATGAAAGATACCTGTGACCCTCATGTCTCGGAAAATTATGACCATCGTGCCTTTACTTCCTAGCTGTTTCACTTCCATTGACTCTTGCTTAAAGAAATGCATTGTATTTTTACCCTTGGTAACATACACGAAAATAAAATAATTCTAAAATTAAATATTTATTTCCTCGATAGATTAAAAACTTACCCTAACATAATAATATTGATGTATTAATACAGTATACGATACATAAATATTGTACCATGACTAGGGAATAAATAAAAATTGGCTCCCTGTTGCCCTTAAAATGGCAACTGAATCCAAATATGATACCAAAACTAAATGGTTTATTCAGTGAGAGGACCTGATGAAATTAACTCTGAATTCCAAGTTCCAACATATCATAATGTTACGTAAAATGGATGAGTGAGTCCACATTTTCATCTCAGTGACAGACCTAAACGTACAAAGAGCTTCTAGTGGTCACGGTCTGATACAATTTTTTTTTTATTATTATTATTCTTATTATTTTATTATTATTATTATTATAATAAATAATAGTAATTTCATCCCCTAAATTTCTAATAATTCGTGAAACTTAACGTTTTGACGCTGTTAAATGCAATTTCTTGAACAACCTGTCATTAGTTAAACATTACACTTGAACCCCAAAATATATTTTCTTGGTTCTGCCACTAATAAATCTTGCATGTCTATGTAGGAAATTATTGTGAAGAGTTAGTTTTCTTGGTTTGGATATATGAGAACTATGGAAATTAGAGTTTTACACGAATGGTATGTTATTATGATTTAATTAACTAGGTAGTCTTCACTGAATTTGTGAATATTTATTCTCAAATTTGTATTCTAATTAGCTTTGTATCATAACTTACACATGTAGATTTATTGATCCATATATCTTGAGATGCAAATTGTGGGGAAAAAGATGTGTTGTAGTGCTCTTGAATTAATAGCGCTTTAGTTTTGCCATTTTGGCCAAGTTTATCTCAGCATGATTTGGGACTTTCTTTAAAAAATCGTAGTTATAAATGATTAATTTCTGATAATATTGGTAATGAGTCAGACCAAGTAATTAAGATAAAAAATTATTGCAGATGCCATTGTCCAGAGGGGATTAATGTGTTTCCAACTTATAAAAATCCGGCACATCTTACCAAGTAGAATTCACTTTCCATATAAATTATAAAACACGGTGGTTGAGTTGTGTCAAAACTATAAAACTATATTGAAGATCAAATCAAGATCAATAGAGCAAAGCATATTAATGCCAAAAAAAGGAAAATTAAACAGTATTATTATTATACCAAAACAGATTCACGTACAGTACTTTCTCTTCACTAATTATTTTGTATGGAACTATCTGTATATCTTTCCTCAACCGAAGCCAAATCAATGCACTTCTTTTTTTTTTTTTTAATCTTTTTAGAAGTAATTATCTTCTTTACTTCTTATATTGACTGTTGAAATTGCACTTTTATGGCCATGGTTTTTTTGTTTGTTGTCTCAGTTAAGTCGTCATGCTCAAGTTTAATTTAATCCCATAACCTGTCTTTGATGATTGTTGAAAATCAATATAGTGGAATCATTTTCTTTTTGTTTGTATGTATAAAATCCCAACTATTCTTGAACTTTTGTACCAAGATAAAAATCAATAGTTTGTTAACATGAAAGTTGATAGGCTTGATGAGTGGTGAACCTTCTTTGATGGTTCAAATGCAACTATATTTGAGGTTATAGAGCAGGCAACCAAAGTTGCAGCCAAAGTTACCCTGATGAGTTCAAGAACCGAAGGGGTGAAATTTCTGAGACACTTTATTCATGTTGTTTGACTCGATCTTGTGGCCATTATCAGAATGATCAGTTAAAGCAACATGCAAAGAAAGAATATGAAATCAATGTGCTAGAACTAGGCCGTTAAATGGCAATGACAAAGATCTAGAATTTTCTGATGACAAGAAATGTAAGTTTGGCAGCAGTAGAAATGATGATCAAAGAACCAGATTAGTAAATTCAGCTACAGCGGAGCTGAGGCATTATCAGCAGAGATTGATGTGGAAAATGAGATTATCAATAAGGTTTTGAGGATACTCTAGATGAGGTTTGTCTCAATTGTTGCTCTGGGATTAATTAATTAATTTTGCTTTAGGGTTAGTGAGATAGAGTAATTATATGCTTGCATGACAAGTTTTAGAGGTTTTTTTTTTCTTTTGGTAAACACGGTAATTGTATTAAAGAATAAATGAATTACAAGCTACAGCCAACCCTTGGACACGCCCAAGAACCGCTAAACTAAAAAAGGAGCAGCAAGGAATGGAAACCGTCCCTGGAGCCCAGCATCTAAGCAATCAAAAGGAGAAGAAAAAGTTCCTTAGACTGCTGCAAAATCAAACAGCACACAGACCGTAAGGAACCAATCAAATTTGAGATGTTTGAAGTTTATTGCATTTGTTTTTCATGTTGTGTTGTTCTTTGATTTGTCTTGGTGTTGCAGTCTGGAACAGTATTATTGGAGTCATTAAGGAAGCTTCGATTGATGGATATGTCTATTGAGATTCTACAGGTTGGAATTCTATCTGTATTTAGTTTGCTATTTGTTTAATAGGAAGTTCAATACGTTGGTTTCATAGTAATTCTTTTTAGAATTAATCGTGAAAATGGTTTCTTCACCAACCTATATAAACACATCCGCTGTGTTGTAAAAGCTGGGGGATGGTTAATTATTTCATTTCATTGGATAAGAAGCTTGACTATCCGCAGGAAAAATTTGCAAATATGCCGAAATTGCACCAGTAGAAGGAGTATGGTAATCGTCTCCATGTTTAGTTTTCTGTTATGGGAAATACCAGCGATTTGTGAGTTTGAAAATCATTAACCACGCATGCCTATTATGCACCTCTTGAAGATTACGATTTTGTTGGGTCAAAACTGATTGCCCAGGATTTTAGTTCTATTTTAAATTTTAAAAATAATTTACTGATTTTATGTGAATAGATATTAGGAAAACCAGTATATACTGTAATGGTTATTTTCATGAATAGTAATATACAGAAAAGGAGGAATTTATTTTATTCTTGTTTCTTTATATGCTATCAGAGCTGTGTTTTAGAGTTTCTCTGTTAAGTTTTTTTGGCATTCTGATTCAGTTTTGCAGCAGATAAGTTTGCAATCCTACTGATAGCAAGTTGTTGCTACAATGGAAACCACCAACGAATCAGAAGACTCAGGTCCAATGATGATTGGAAGCCAAGATCCAATGTCGCCATTCTTCTTGACATCCTCAGACAATCCTGGAAATGTACTGGTGTCTCAATTGATGAACAACACCAATTATCCGAGATGGAAACGAGCAATGACGACTGCATTACGAGCCAAGAACAAATTTAGCTTCGTATATGGAAGCATTACAAAACCAACATCTGATGAAGGAAGGGAGCTTCATGTTTGGAACAAGTTCAATTCCATGGTGATCTCATGGATAATAAACTCAGTTATACCAAAGCTCCATGACAGTGTTGCTTACCTTCATAATGCGCACGAGTTGTGGAAAGACTTGGAAGAAAGGTTTTCACAAGGCAATGCTCCTCGTGTCCATGAATTGAGAAGAGAGCTTGCCTTGACAAAACAAGGAGAGCAGAGTGTGTCAAGTTATTTCACACAACTTAGAGGCTTGTGGGATGAGCTTGGAACATATAGAAAAGCAAAAGATTGTACGTGTGGAGCAGCAAAGGATCAACTAGAAGAAAGAGAATATTAAAAACTCCATCAATTTTTAATGGGCTTGAATGATCCTTATGGTGTGGCAAGGTCTCAGATCCTCAATACCAAGCCACTTCCTTCTCTCAACAAAGCTTACGCACTTATTATTATGGAGGAATGGCAACATGCAGCAGTAGCAAAAATGGGACCAGTTGATGGAGCTGCTTATTGTGCAAAGGTTTTTTTTTTAATTTCTTGGTTTTTTTTTTAAAACTGAGGAAACATGTTTCGATTTGATCACTGCTAGAAAGTTGGATGCACAAAAGATATGTGTTATGAGATTGTAGGCTATCCAGCAAATTGGGACAGAAGAAGGAAATCGGGAAACAAGTTCAAACAAAGCAAGGCCACTGTTCACAATGTTGCTGGCGCCACAACTGAAGAAAAAGCAAAACCAATAACTGGACTCTCAAAGGAGCACTATGATCAGCTGATGGTTCTTCTTTCAAATGACAAAAGGAGTGAGGTAGCAAACTTTGTGGGTAAGATCACTAGTTCCGATAATAAAAATATGAAATGGATTTTTTATTCTGGAGCTTCAGATCATCTTACCTCTATGATGGACAGCATGAAGGATAGGCAAGAGCTCAAAACTAAATTTCCTGTTAGCTTGCCAGATGGAAGTAAGATTCCTATAAAGGTGACAGGATTAGTTATGCTCACACCACAAATTAGCCTTGATAATGTTTTATATGCTGAAAATTTTAATTGCAATCTCACATCCATCAGTCGAATTACTAAAGATATGAATTGTGCTGCCATTTTTTTGTCAAATTCTTGTTTCTTACAGGACCTTGCCTCGAAGAAGCTGATTGGTCAAGGTAAGGTGGAGGATGGATTATATTATCTACAAACAATAAAGTCTATGGCAAGATCAGTGACAACGGATGAAGACATGGTCAAGCTATGGCATAAGAGATTGGGGGCACCCTTCGTTTGACAGACTAAAGTTGATTTCTGGATTGTCACATTTTTCGTGTGATAATTTGAAGTGCTGTAACATTTGTCACATGGCTAAACAAACAAGAAATTGTTTTCCTTTAAGTTTCAATAAATCAGAGACAAGTTTTTCCTTATTACACTGTGACATCTCCATCTCATTCTGGAGCAAATTATTTTTTTACTGTGGTAGATGATCACACACGATGTACGTGGGTATATTTGTTGAGAAATAAAAGCGAGGTTTTTCAAATAATGATTCATTTTTACAAGATGATCGAGACTTAATTTGGGGAAAGGATTAAAGAAATAAGGATAGACTATGCTTTGGAGCTTGTGGGAGGAAATTTTAAAATTTTCATGCAAAGGAATGGAATTGGTCATCAAACAACTTGCCCACACACACCCCACACACACCCAAACAAAATGGGATTGTGGAAAGAAAACATAGACACCTGTTGGAGGTGGCCAGAGCACTACGTTTCCAAGCCAACTTACCAATCTAGTTTTGGGGAGAATATGTACTTGCAGCAGCACACCTTATCAACTATATGCCCACTCCACGTCTAGGAGGAAAGAGTCCTTATGAGGCGCTATTTGAGAAGAAATCCTCTTATGATCACCTTAGGATTTTCAGGTGTTTATGTTATGCTTACATTAATCCCAAACCAACTGATAAGTTCTCACCTCGGTCCAAGGCATGCATCTTTGTTGGATACCCAATGGGAAAGAAATGATACTTAGTCTATGAAATAGATTCCAAAAGAATCCAGGTTACTGGGGGTGTAAAATTCTTTGAGGATATTTTTTTCCCTTCAAACTGACCCAACCAACAAGTAGGACGAGTCCTAGTATTATTCCACTTCCAATGATAGAAGATGCAGATTCCTTCCAACAACCAATTAATGATGTTCCGTTTTCAATGGTGGAGAATGAAGATTCCCTACAACAACCAATTAATGATCTTGTTGAACAAGACGTGATTTCATAGGAGGTTCAACCACGACCACAAATGGAGAGAAGACCTCTTCTACGCCTCCAATACTATGTTTGTCAGATTGCTGAAGTAAATAATCCATCCTAGCCACCCACCAAATCAGCCTTTGCAGGTAAAGCCTATCATATTTCCCACTATTTATCTAACAAGAGATTTAGCACTCCACGTCAAATTTTTTTGGCAACAATTACTGATCAAAATGAACCAAGGAATTTTCAAGAGGCATCACGAGACCCAAAGTGGATTAAGGCCGTGAGAAAGGAGATGAATGCACTTGAAGAAAATAATACTTGGAAGCTTGATCATCTTCCCCACAACAAGAAGCCAATAGGGTGCAAGTAGGTATATAAGATCAAACATAACGCAGATGGCAGCATCGAAATGTATAAAGCATGATTAGTGGCGAAGAGATATACACAAGTCGAAGGCCTTCACTATACAAAAACGTTTTCTCCCATGGCGAAACTTACCATAGTAAGGTGTTTACTCGCAATTGCAGTAGCTAAGGATTGGTTTCTATGGCAGATGGATGTGACAAATGCTTTCCTACATGGAGATTTACATGAAGAAGTGTACATGGAACCACCACCTGGATACAAAGTCAAAGATAATTCCTTATATTGCAAATTGCAAAAATCTTTGTATGGATTGAAGCAAGCATCACGGCAATGGTTTGAAAAGCTTTCAAAAGCTTTGCAGAAATTTGGGTTTGCACAATCTGTTCATGATAACTCTTTATTTATCATTTCAGAAAATAACTTTTTTTTGGCAGTGCTAGTGTATGTGGATGATCTTATTATAGCAGGAAATGATCCCATCAAATGTGAAAATTTGAAGCAGTTCTTGAATGAGCATTTTAAGCTAAAAGATCTAGGAAAGTTAAAGTACTTTCTTGGATTGGAAGTGGCGAGATCACCTACAGGGATTTACCTGTCACAACGTAAATATACGCTAGATATTCTACAAGAGACTGGACTTCTTGGTGCCAAACCACCAAAAATTTCCATGCAATAGTAAATGAAGTTGAGCAACGACGAAGGAGATGTGTTGGAGGATTGTAGCTCTTACAAAAGATTGATAGGAAGGCTACTTTATCTTACAATTAGCCGACCAGACATAACATATATTGTGCACATTCTCAGCCAATTTATGCATGCACCAAGGAAGCCACATTGGGAAGCAGCCATGAAATTGTTAAGATATTTGAAAAATGCACCAGGACATGGCATCCTCTTCCCAAAGGAAAATGAACTTTCTCTTCAAGCATTCTGTGATTCAAATTGGGCAGGCTGTCCCATGACTAGGAGATCAATGACTGGGTTTCTCATAAGACTAGGAAAAGCTTCCGTTACTTGGAGATCAAAGCAACAAACTACATGTTATCGTATACAATTTAGGAATTTATATAATTTAGGACTTCTCTATTAATATTAGCTGTATATATATATTACCATATATATAGGCTAAATAATAAGGATTAGTTAGGGGCTCTCCGTGTATAGCATTTGACCTTTTTTCCATGTATAGGACTTTTACGTTGATAAGACAAAAGGTGGCTAAAAGTCAGAGGACACTTTTTCCAAAACCTCTCTTCGTATATTTCTTCTCTCTAGTTTCTGACATGGTATAAGAGTAGGTTTGATTACTTGCCTGTTTTGTAATTTTTTTTTTTCTCTCTTGGGGTTGTTTAGGTGTTGATTTTGGCACTGTCTGTGGCTATTTTTTGGTTTTTGGGTTTCTGGGCATCAAAAGTGGGTGTTTTGGTTCGATTCTAGCTATTGGCACCATCGGTTGCATTTTCCAGTTCTAGGCTCTTGTTTTCGGCGCCGTCTGTGGTGTTCTCTGGTATGGTCTCTTATTTTTGGTGCCTCTAGTGTTGATTTCTTGTTAGTTGTGGCTTTCGGAGATCTTTGTTGCCGTCCCTGGTTGTGCCTCTTTTCAGTGCAATAGATTTTCTGGTGCATGTTTCTTTGTGTATTTTTTTTCACAGTGCAAGTTACAATTTTCTGGTGGGATATTCTCTCTGTCTCTTGGTTGTATCATGTCATCAGATAAGTTGGAATTGTTCCATATTAGGTTTACTAGCAAAAATTATTCTGCTTGGGAGTTCAAATTTAAATTATTTGTTAAAGGAAAAGAATTGTGGAGTCATATTGATGGGAGTGCTCCCGCACCTCCAAGTGTCGAGGCTTTGTCTAAATGGGAAATTAAGGATGCTCGGGTTATGAGTTGGATCCTTAGCTCAGTTGAGCCTTATCTTGTTCTCAATTTGACGCCTTATAAAACCGCGGGTGCTATGTGGAATTATCTCAATATGGTTTACAATCAAGACAACTCCGCTAGGCGATTTCAATTAGAGTATGAGATGGCTAATTTCACATAAGGTAGTCTCTCGATTGAGGAATATTTTTCTGGTTTTCAAACTCTTTGGGCTGATTATTCCAATATTTTTTATGCTAATGTTCCTGCTGCATCTCTCTCTGCTGCCCAAGCAGTTCATGCAACCAGCAAGCGCGATCAATTCTTGATAAAGCTATAACCTGACTTTGAAATTGCACGATCTAATCTGATGAATCGTCATCTTGTACCATCTCTGGATGCCTGTTTGAGTGAACTTCTTCGTGAGGAGCAGCGTATTGTAACTCAGGCTGCCATGAAACATCAGGCTAATGTTACTGCACTTGTTTCTGTGGCTTATGCAGCACATGGGAGGAATAAGGGTAGAGATATGCGTGATGTCCGGTGCTTTAGTTGTAAAGCTTTTGGTCATATTGCTCAAGATTGTCCCAAAAAGTTCTGTAACTACTGTAAGAAACAGGGTCATATCATCTCTGCTTGTCCCATTCGACCTAAAAGGAAGTAGGGTATTGCTTATCATGCCTCCACTGGTGCCTCTAGTTCCATTGCATTGCCTGCTGCCTTGTCGGTTGTTCCTATTCTTCCTCCTACAGCCTTAGTAAACCCGAACACACTCACTCCTGAAATGGTACAATAGATGATCATTTTTGCTTTTTCTGCTTTTGGGCTCTCAGGTAATCATAGAGTTTCTTCTAAGCCATGAT